GTCACCTCCACTGCTCCCGTTACCTAGCAACCTGCTGCGCTTGACAGTAAAAGTCAACTCTATTAACTTGTATGCAAGGACTTCTTATTTTTCTATTGCATAGGATACAAGCTCTGTTAACTGTAACTTAAGATCTTACAGAATATGTCCGAGCTACAGTAGCTGAACGTCACCACACATCGTTCTCCTTCAGCTTGATGCTTCCTCCTGTTCCATCAAACAACTAAATGTAAAGTTAGTTTATAATCACACCACAAAACAAAAGGAGCAAAGCAAGTTCAGTTTCTTTGTGTATGTATTCTGTAACGTATTCTGATATTTCAGGTTTGTAACTTGTCTACTTGAGCTCACTTTGATCCATTTCTGTTCACAATTGTTGAGTTGCGTTACTCGCATTCTTGCAGCTAACGTTGCATTCGGAGGAAAAGAGCGGGCGATTCAGATGAGCCATCTTTGGCCGTCTTCGGCATATTTATTTCCCGAGCTGCCGCTGACACATCAGTCTCACGGTCAGACGGCCTTCATCACTTCTTCATATAAAACGGCAAAACATTTTGGGACAAACAAAACAGCAATGCGAACGAGTGCCCCTTGTGGCTCCTGCACAACACAGATCAGCACTGTACTACACCATCACCACAACTGAGGACATAATGAACATATCCCAACACCAATATGAAGTAGAAACTATATATGAAACCGCCACAGCCTCAATAAGATATTAGTCAGCCTCTAAAGCAGAGGTCACCGACTGGAGGACCGCGGTCCGGGTCCAGACCCAGAAGCCGTCCCATCCGGACCAAAAGCTAAAAACAGACAGTTGTGATTTAAACGTGACAGCTTTAGTCGTCTTTACGGTAGTCTTTGCATTCCAGGCAGGATGATATTGTCTCAATACTGCGGACAGAGGAGGAGGCGGCAAATTAAAAATAAAAAGACGGTAGGAAGAAAAGAAACAGCAAAATTTGAGAAAAAGACGAGTGAGAAAAACAAATGGCCAGTGAAAGTGGAGCATTTAATCCTCAATGGACAGACTGCTTTCTGTTCATACTTCCCACTGCAGCACTAAACCAGTGTCTCATGTGCTTAGAACCCATTGAAACGCCGTCATGAGGCTCAATGAGCTCCTGCAAGTGAGCAGGAGAACGAGCCTGATGCATTAAGACCAGGTTTAACATCCTAAAACTACATCTTAATTCCCCCACTTACCAAAAAAGTCTGGGAGTGGATTTTGATGTATTTTTGGCTGCACAACTGGGAAACGTTTTTTTTTTTTTACTATATCATGGATACAGAATATACTGTTATACTTTAGCAGTACGTTTTTTATCAATTTATTTTATTAGTCATTATTATTTATTTGGTGCAGAATCATGTTATGTATTAAAACTAAGGTTTTATCACTGTTATGTTTGAATTGGCTCAAAGTTACGTAATGTTACTGTATGTTGATAACGTTTGCCTGTTCACATAATATCAACTAGGTTTGTTTTATATGTGGGGGGGCTGGTAGTGTCCCAACGCTGAGACCAAACCTTCACCTTTGGGATAGAAAGTCCTGTGAATGAAATTACATAGATACAATCCCCCAATGTTCCCAATCTATAAAGATAGTAAATCACTATCAACTTTCTATTCAAATATACAGATAGCTACTAAATGAATTCTTTAAGCAGAGAAAAGTGTCTCTTTGTGGGCGTCCACGTCGTTCTGTGGCTTCAGATGTTACTTTTCTTTTTCTGCACTTACAAACTTTGTTTCCTGTGGATCTTCTCTGCACACATCACAACACCTGCACTGCTCACTGAGAATACCACATAACACCGCTGCTGTAAGGTAACCACTTCCCAACCTAAGGTGGTTCATGGTTCACCGTGTTATTTATTACGTTTGCAGCCCTGTTTTCATGCGTTCACTAGATGGCACTCATAAGCAGCGATTCAGCCTTTTGCCAAATCCTCTTATTGTGCCAAACGCTCACGCAGCCAGTTTGCAGGAAATCACGTGACTTATGATAAATTGGCAAATCCAACCAAAGCGCGGCGCTGTTACACTGTCTCAAAGGACTCTGCACCGGTCAGGGCTGTTGTGTCTTTTCTAAACTCACAGAGGATCAGTTTCCGTTCACCACATTTTGCTCTCTGAAGTCAAACACATAAAACAAGATCAGTTTTTTGGTATTACCTTCCTGTATGAACTGGAAATGTCCTTTAAGGTGTGTTTGATTGAATGCGTTTCCCTTATTAACTGAGGAAACCACACAGCGACGTAGTAACACTGTGCTGCACTAATGTTGGGGTTTACCCGTCTATTACATAATGCTACAGCTCCCTGCTCAGTCCAAAGGACATGGTTACTTTTACTTCATCCACAACAGTATCACGACTTATCTAAAGGACTCATTTTCATATGTATTAAAGATCAATAGTTGCACGTGCACTTTTGAAAACCCTTTTTGTAGCATCACGTTTGACCTTTTTCTATTGAAATGCTTCTGTCATTAAAATGAGACGAGGTGTGGAAAAGACGCTGCATCAGTGTCACTTCTGTTGTGCTTTACGCTGCATCACTTGCTCTTTCTAAAGAAGAGAAGCCTCCATTATGTGCCAGTGAAGCCGATCTATCCTGTGACTCAGTCACAAGAGCTCGAGCTGGTTGTGTCTTGGATGAGTCAGGTGCTCAACGGATGCACAACACGGCACAGAAAGTGAGAGCAAGAAGAGCTCAGCACTCGGTGGTGCACAACGAAAGCTGCTCAGCGCATCCGCACATCCAAAGACACATTACATTACATTACATTACATGTCATTTAGCTGACGCTTTTATCCAAAGCGACGTACAATAAGTGCATTCAACCATAGGGTACAAACTCAGGAGAACAAAAAACAAGAAAGTGCAATTTCCTCAAATAAGCCAATTTACAATTTGCTATAGATGAGTGACGTTACAAGTACAATTTAAGTGCTACAATTTGTTAGTCTTTAGTCGAGGTAGAGTCTGAAGAGGTGTGTCTTTAGTTTGCGGCGGAAGATGTGAAGGCTCTCTGCGGTCCTGGTGTCTTCAGAGAGCTCGTTCCACCATTTCGGCGCAAGGACAGCGAAGAGTCGACACACATTTACAGAATGCACTATATAGGTGACAAAAGGTTTCAGGATGCACGGATTCATCGTTTCTAGACAAGGCCGCAATCACAATCATCTGTATTTTAAATTTCCCCTTTTTTTCCAATGTTCAACTCACGCTGACGGCCATTTTTGGTCTGTGATGAGAAGATGTCACTAAGATGGCGTGTGCCTTTTGCCCTTTTTTCTAACTCCACGCCTCCTGCCACTGGAACCTGCAGGCAGCACTCAGGGTTGTAGATGGGAAGCAGCCAAGTTCATGATAAGTCTGTGAGCCGGGGTGTATCTCCAAAGCGTCACCTTCATTAGAATGATGAATAATAATTCGTCCATAGCAGAACCAGACTCACAGTGAAGCATGTGATTATTAATCAAGTAGGGGGATACAAATGTTTTAAATGTACATTTAAATACAGTAAACTGGGTGGGTGTTCATGTCATAGACCCATTCATTTAGGAATCCCTCACACTCATGATGCATGACGTTATAAAAGTCTTGCAGGAGTCCGAGAGAAGCAACAGCAGCACGTGTGTGGACACGTGACTTCAGTCCCCATTTTGTGGAGACGTCTCAACAAGATGGCGGTTAACGTTGCCGATGCTGAGCCTGAGCTTTGTCAATAAAGGGGGTTGGTGTTTTGGCACAACGCCTGATGTCACTCTCGTGTTTTTATGAAATGTCATCAGGCAACTTTCCAAAAAGCCTCACTGACAGAAGCAAACAAAGGGCTGGTAGTCCGGGGCTTTCCAGGTCGCTCACACAACAAAGACACACCTCAAGTCACAGTCAGACCAGAAATACAAGGACCAAACAAACACTAATGTGTGGTTACAAAAGCTCCAACGCCTCAGACTACTAACCAGTATAACCAATTCACAATCACCACGATAATAGTAAAATGTATTAAGTGCTTCCCTCCTTTTCACTGCACGGCGCGACTCCGTGTGACTCATGAATAAAACCTGCAAACTCTGCTAAACCCCATGAACATTGTACCATGGAACTTAATATACTTTGCTTTGACTTTGTTCCGAATGAATGAATTAACTTTATTCATTAAGCACTTTACATGCACAGAATTCAGCATAAAGGGATTTACACATTTTTAAATACCATGTGCGTCATATGAAGGGGCAGCCGGGCTGTTCAGCGCCCTACAATATAAGGAAGTACTTTGAATCAAATCCTTGGGGAGAGACAGTGTGAGTTGCGTTATCTGATTTTATTTTGTGTTGAAACCCTGCCAGCAGCATTCTGTAGCTTTACTGCTTTTGGTAGATCGGCATGAAAAGGGTTACAGAATCATGCTTGAAGGAGGCAGTTCTGGTTAATGAATTATACTGAGCTTTACAGTCCAGGTCCATATCTGAAATCATTTATTAATATTGACTAGTTCATAACATCCAATGTCATTTCAACAAACTAGATAAGAACAGAAGCATAGTAATAGAGTTGAGGAGGTTCCACGTCTTTTAACTGAAAATCATTCTTTTATTTTTAATATTCACACAACATTTACATAATGAATTTATAAAGGTATGTTTGTACATGTTCAGTACGTGTGTGTCCAACGTGGTCCCACAGAACCACCGTCTCACAGACGGGTCCAGGGTGACAGCGGTGGGTCACTGTGCTGGATTTTCCTCTTCAAAGAGCTCCTCCCTCAGTCGGTAGTAGCTCCCCTTCAACTCCATCAGTTCCTGGTGAGTCCCTCGCTCCTGAACTCTGCCGCCATCGATCACAACAATCTGATCGGCCCTCTGGATGGTCCTCAGCTTGTGGGCGATCACCAGCAGGGTCTGGTTAGGACAACTGGCCAAAGCCTGGTGAATCTGTGCAGGGTCAAGGACACACATATTCCTCTTTCACAGGGTCACAGGGGGGCTGGAGTCTGAAAATGTGACTTTCAATATGCTCACAAGGTATTATCTTGTTAAATAATGAGCCTTTAATTCATTTGCTGAACAGAAATGGAAACACCGGGTAAAACCAAGTTCAAATTTCTTGTTTCATGTTAAAATATTAACAGTCAAACGCAGAAGGACGGGGAATATAACCTACTGTTTTTGATCAATGTATTTTATTATTAGTATATTTAATTTCATGAATAATTTTGGTGCACTTTTGTTTTGGTTTGAGCACCTGCCCCCCAAAATGTCTGTGCACGTGCCTCCCCTCAATATACAATGACATATAAAAGAATAAGAAAATAAGACGAGGCGTTATGTTATTTTGTTAGGCCTATTCCTTCAGAAATATTACTACATTACTGTCGTACTCATTCGAGAGTTTAAAGGAGTTTAAATTCAAGACTAACTGTGCCAAACGTTTACTGAGAATGACATATTGGTCTCAATGCTCATCAATTAATTGAGCAATGATGTGTGCAGCACTTTCTCTCTACTGTACATAAATACTTAGAAGTGATTGATGGTACAGAACTTGTCTGAAATACACAGCCAGGGACTTCTGGCCCTGAGGGATGTTAAGACGTACCTTGTTTTCACTGGTCATGTCCAGAGAGCTGGTTATTTCATCCAGAATGAGGACCTGTGGCTGCCTGACCAGAGCTCGAGCGATGGCGATCTGCTGCCTCTGGCTCTTAGATAGTTGGCCCCCACCCTCACCCACCTCTGAGAAATGGACATCATGAAATCACAACGGATTGAGGTGAGTCGCCCGGGTTGGACCCTGACTGAGCACTGCTGGCCCTGTTGTCACCGTGTGCGTCGCTCAAGCTGATGCGAGATGCTCACGATTATGCTGCGTTTGTCTGTAATACATGTAATACTTGACTGGGTTCTTTACATGGCTCATAGGCAATAAAGCAGTTCCTCCAATGTGAGGGAGGACTTTACTGATAATTCCTCCTGGTCATTGTGGAGGTTAGTCTGTGGCTTTTTACAGGTTACACTTGCATCCTCCATGATTGACACTCGTTGCCTTTTTGATTCTTCACGGTTCATTTAGTTTATTTTCCCTAAGTTCCAGCATTAATCTCTACAAATGATGTATTCTTTGCTTTTCTCTTTTACAGTAAAAAAAGGTTACCTGCATCGTAGCCCTTCTCCAGCTTCATGATGAAGTCGTGTGCGTTGGCTTTGCGTGCTGCTTCCTGGATCTCATCCAATGAGCATTCAGCGAGCCCGTAGGCGATGTTGTCTCTGATGGAGCCAGAGAAGAGGACAGGCTCCTGGCTCACCAAAGCAATCTGTCAATCACACTGTCATCAGCCTTCAGTTCCCAGGACCCCTCTGGCCTCAAGGTATCTGCATGTATGGTTTCTAACTGATGTTTCTTGTTGCACTATCAACTTGTCAATGTAACCGCTGTGATACTAAACTCAAAAAGATTATTTTTTTCCCAATAGTTTTTGAATTTAAACACAGATAACAGACAGAAATTGTCCAAAGCAGGAGAGTGGTTTGCGTGATCAAAGCCGTAATGCTGAATCACCTTCTTGTGGAGGAAACGGTGGTCATAGGATTTCAGTGGTTCGTTGTCCAATAGGATTTCTCCGTCCTGCTGCTCATAGAAGCGCTGCAGCAGACTCACACATGTGCTTTTCCCTTTTCCAGATGTTCCCACCAGCGCTGTCATCTGACCTGACTTCAGCTCCAATGAAAAGTCCTAAAAGAGGAGATGAAACAGAAAATAGTTTTGTTTTTGTAGCTTATTGTACATTAATTTATAGGCAGCTGTAGATACTGAGGGAACCCTTGTGTACATTTACTTTAGCTTGTCACTTTCTAGACTCATCCCGTTTTTCCGCTACTGAAATTCATGCTAAAGAAGTCCCCTCTCTGGCGGCATGAGCTCACCTGCAGTACTGTTTTGTCGGGGTAAGTAGGATAGGCGAAGCTGAGATTGCGGAAGACGACGTTCCCTGTCAGCTGATCCGGTTTGAGTTTCCCCTCCATGCTGACCTGAGCTTTACGGTCCAGGTACTCAAACACTTTCCCAGCAGCCCCCACCGAGTTCAGCATGTCGCCAAAGATGTAGGTCAGTGTCTAAAAAGAACATGAAACTGAGCACTTGATGACGTCATTTTTACCTTTATATAGTGAAGGCGGAATGTTGAATAGGAATATTTATGCATGCAATCATGTGTAGTCTTTTAAACTGAGAGCCAAATATCATAACACATGATGACCCAACATGACACCACAAAGAGTTTGTTTCTATCATCTTTAAATAAAACATAAGAAAAGCCAGCAGTTATCTACCCTGATGTTGTCTCCAAGATCTGACTGGTAGAGGATGAAGGAAACCAGGTTTCCAGTGGTCATCTGTCCACTCCGGATGAACAGCCTGCCGTAGTACATCATGACCACCTGCATGCCTAAGCCTGTCAACTGTACACACACACTGTTACATGAGGTGATGTACAAGTATATACTCAGAAGTACCTGTTGTACAAAAAACTACAGACTTCTCACCCTGCGTGCGAGAAGGTAAACAGCTCTGACAGCGTTCTGGCGCGTCTTCAGGATGTGTGTGTCCATCAAGCGGTCGTCATAACGACGGGCTTCGTGTTTCTCTGTGTTGAAGCTACGTAGCACATGAATACTGGACACCACCTCGTTCACGACTTCATTTGCCAGAGCCATGGAGTCGTGCACTGCCAGGGACAGCCGCTGGGGAGGAAGACAAAAGTCTTCTCAGTATTAAGTCACGGGTGGGTATCTTGTATTAGAAACGTTAAAAAGACGGATGCTGAGACAATAAAATGTCCTAAAAGATCATAATGTGATGTTCAATTGTGAAGTAAATAGAGGTTTTCATAACGAACTCCAGTGCGTTTCATAAAAACTACAGCTTTTGTCCACAGGAAGCGTCAAAATCAACACAAAAGGAAAGTTCAACATAAAAGCTTTGAGCTGAATAAGATAAAGGGAAAAAAACAGTTCTATATGTTATAATAATATATTGTCATCAGACACAAAATATGAGCAATCAACAAATGTTGATTTTTGATTCATTGCATCATTTGTCTTTTAAAAGACATAAGCACCTTTCCGCTACATAAAATGAAATAGCTTTTTTGTGATGGAAAACAGGTAATCAAACGATCCTTTGGATCCCCGAGTTAATTAAATAATTCTCATGAACCTGCCTTTCACCTGGTAGTGTGTGTCATAGATGTTCTGAATGAGGCTGGTGATGGGCACCTCCATCAATACCAGGAATGTGAGCTTCCAGGAAAGATTCATCATCAGGGAGATCATGCCCAGCGTCTTGATGAACGTCCTCAGCAGCACGTTGACATTGAGACACACCGCTCTTCCCATCAGGGTGGTGTCTTTAGACAACCTTGATGTGATTTCCCCTACACAGAAAATACAGAGCTTACATTCTGTCCTCTTCTGTTGTTCTGTGATGTTCTTGTTCTGTGACAATCTCATGTTCTGAAATGCCTCCTGTCCTGTCTTTATTGTGTCTTGCCATGACTTGTTCCATTGGCCATGTCCATAGATAAAGTATTCATACAGTAAACTGTATGCGTGTGTAATACGAGAGCCTCACCTGTCTTTGTTGTCTCAAAGAACCCAATCTCCTGTCTGGTCAAAGCCCCAAACAGCTGGACTTTAATTCTGCACGTGAAGGCGCTGATGGCGCACATTAAGAAACCTCCTCTGCAGCCTGCACTAAAAGAGCTGACGGATCATAAATAGACAGTCACATGTTACGTTGTGAGCTACAGGCGCATTCCCTGGATGAGTGAGAGTGAAGAGGGGGACGAATTGTCCTATACCTGCCCAGAGAGTATAGTCCCATGAAAAGAAGCGCAGATACAAATTCATTGGGCCGATACTGAGTGCCAAGGATGTCGATGACTCTGCCAGTGTAGAACGGGATGAACATCTCACCTGAGTGGATGCAGAACATACAAAGTCACATACTGAGTGAAAATCAGCATCATATTAGCATCATCATCGATGTGGTCCAGCGTATCCCAACAGCAGAGTACCAACTGTTATAAGGCTAAGGCTTAAATTCACAGCGAGAATTGAAGATATCTGAAAATAAGGACGATGACTTTTAAAAAGTTAAACAATGTTCATAGTTGTGAGTTTAGTCCAATTTAAAGAGATGCTCAGTCTTAGCATCTCTTTAAAGGGGCCTGAAGTGCACTGGAACAGGAGTTATTTACTCATTAGTAGATGATAACGTGAATCCTGTACTGGAATGACATCCTCATCCTCATCATGTGACGTAGGCCGATACTTACACAAAACTGCCAGCGTCAGCATCAGCAGCCCCCCAAGGAGCAGCAGATATTCGGGTTTGTACAAGGCCAGGACTCTCAAAAACAGCACTCTGGCCTTCTGTTTCTTCTCTTTACCGGCGGCAGCATCCGCGTCCGGCACGGTGATTTCCCAAAACAGCGCACCGACCAGCGACGCTGCGGCGCAAACGAGCCAGCAGCGCGCATCCGCCGACGGGCCGCATTCGGTCTCCTCGCGGTAGAGCGCTTTGGTTCCGGTCTCAAACACCGCGGGCAGAAGACTGTGCGACGCGATAACGCGGATCAGCAACGGGTTGAGATCTCCGAGGGTGAGCAGAGTCACGGCGCTCAGTGCCGAGCAGCGGAGAGCCGCGTGGAGCCAGAGACGCGCAAAGTGTCCAAACACGCTGCGAGTCGCCACCAGTCCCGCTGCGTAAAACAAGGACAGGTCCACGCAGACTGCGGACACCAAAGCGATGCCTTTGCGGGTTACTTTTGCCATATCGGCTGTCGTCATGCAGCTACAGTCGTCTGCATAACCTTCTGTGTCGATGCAGTCTGAGGTTTGGTCCACTTTCACTTTCATTGTCTGGTTTCCCCGAAATCCTCACGGCTCCCTATAGAACTATTTTGGGTTCCTAAACTGAGTGGGTTACACATGTAAACTATCTTTTATTATCACTAACTTCACGAGAACATTACACCAGCATTAAAGTCCAAAGCCATTTATTGTAAATAAAAACAAAAATAAAACAGTAAATCACACAGGCTTTTATTTTTATTAAATTGCACATAAAAGAAAAGCATATAAAAGAACGATAAAGTATAATCAGAAAGCATGTAGACTTTTGTTTAAGCAGGATGACCAACAATCAACCGCTTAGGCTTCTTACTTTAGTCTGATTAGCAGTGAAGATAAGAGGGAATAATAATGTGAATAAAAAACTTGACTTTGACTCTTTAGATGCTTGTGACACTAAATAACTCTTTTATTTACTTTTACTTTTTTGCCCTCCATTCTTATCCTTCAAAATAAAACCCACAAAACATCATTTCATGTATTTGCTAGACAATCAGTTTGTAAAGGTCTTAAATAATGTGTTTAATGTGTTATTGTTATACAATTGTTTTCTTTAATCAGATGCAAAAACTAAATAAAGACGTATCAGCCTTTCTCTCCCCATATTGGCTTCGGCCATTCAAAAGCACACATCTGTCGGCAACTAAATAAAACATTACTCTTAATTGACCAAATAAGAGTTTGTTTGTTATAATTATCTTAATAATGAACCACAAATTACTTTTAGATTTTTAATGACATAGCGTATCACAGAGCCATGCAATGATTTTATTTGAATTAAACGTTTTAGTAAGTATTTTGATGTGGTGCTTTTCTAGTTGATAAGCTGCATGAGCTGACAGAAGAACCAAAGTATTGTGAGCAAACTGAAAAACTAGTTGCATCCCGCACAGCAGCAGCTTGGCAGACCAGAGACGAGGAAATAGGAAATAGGAAGTGTCACTGGTCAAAGAAGGTGGGTAAGTCATTCCCTAGAACCACTTTCTCCTCCGTGCCGTGTTCATCAATGGACACAATATAGGCCACGCCTCCACTGGAGCCATCGCGGTTTATCGCCAAAGACAGAGCTGCGAGAGGAAGAGGAGAGAAGGCGTGAGGAAGGAGAGGAGAGGTTTTATTAGACAACATGTGTCACCTCACATAAATAAAACAAGCAGTCAGTAGGAAGCAAATGTCTGGTGTCTCTTTCACATTCAAATAAACCGTCTGAGGAAAAAAAAAATCTTTGTGTGGAGAAAACCAACGTACTGTTGACAACAAACTGCTGGCACTCCTCCTTGCTCATGCCTCCGCGAAACTCAGCATCAACAAACCCATAAACATATGAGCTTCCAGAGCCGCCCACGGCAAAGGGCTGCCTCGTCAGGAGACCACTCAGGGTTGCAAACACCTGGGAGAGGTCAAAGGGCACAGGAGCAGACAGGAGCAAGTCAGATGAATGGACTCCTGTAACATGATATCTGTTGGCTGGAGGGGATTTTATCTTTGATATGCAACCTTAACGCCACTTTAGCCCAAGTAGCAGACATTCATTTTGACGTCATTAACATGCCCCGGTAATCTTTCTTGTTTATGGCTTGAATCTCTGCCATGTTTTTACTGACCTGTCCCCCGTCTCTTCGGTCCCAGCCGGCCACGATGAGATGGGCCGACAGCTCCTCTTTGTACTTGTACGAGATGTTCCTCACCAGAGTGGCCGCTGAGCGAACCTGTGGGTCCTCATCGATCTCGATACTGACGGAGGGAGGAAACAGGATATCCAATGAAAACAGCCCAAGATAAACGCTGTACCGTGGTACTGAATGTGTCTTCACCTGTGGACATCGAGCTGGTAGTGGACGACCTCGGCGATGGTCTGAGCGTCGGCTGCAGAGCCGGACAGAGCACAGTAGATCTTGTCATGGAGGGGAGACAGCTTGTTCATCACCCTGTTCACCACCGACGCCCTGCAGGGAGGGAGGAACAGGGGGAGTTTGGCTTTGAGCAAATGCATCTGCACCCTGCTACTTTTTGTATTTCTGGATGGAAGCTCAGCTGTGTGTCATTGTCTCAGTAACAATCAACACCCAGCATGCAACGCTACTGACAGCACTTCATTTCTACTCTATAGAATTCTACCCTCTGATTCCAGTGTCTTCATTGTGTGATCTTTCTCTGCTGACATTTATTCCTTAAGGCTCCGTAGTTCTACGTGTAACCATCTGATAGCCCACAGTTAAGTGTACTTGTCTAGCAGACTATCCTGTTACAGTAGCCACTATTATTTTATTCCATGTGTCCATCCAGCAACATTGGTGGATCCAAATGTTGTAAGAAAAACATATATGATGTCATTTCTTTCTAATCATCCAAAATAATGTGAAGTGTGTGGGTATTTCTCCAAGTAGGCCGCTGACTGGTCGATACTGTGATGCATTGAGTGGGCCGGTCTGACCTCGGGCCACGTCCCCCCCCCAGTCCGCCCCTGAGTACTTGTATGTCTAAACTAGTGACACTGCATGTTAAAGACGAACAGGTGGAAGGATTTAGTGTCAGTAAGCATTCATGCAAATACTATCTAACACATATAATACTATGTTTCCTCAGAGAGAGAGGCGGTATCATGCAGGTAGAACTGGACCGCGCATGCAGACGCAAGTAGGCGCGCACGCGCACGCGCGAGCTCACCCTGCAGACACTCTGGAATCAGACCCCAGCACGACCCCTCCGTCAAACTCTACGGCGATGATGGTGGTCTGCAAACAGAGGTAGAGGTCCTTCAGGGTTCATATGCAGCGGTTCTCGGCGCGGTCTCCGACGTGTAGGACGTCTACTTACTCCGGTCTTCACCTCCTGAGACAACCACTCCGTCCCCGTCTCCTGCAACATGCTGATCCGCTTCTGGTACCGACCGACCGATGTGGAGCCAAACGTTGACTCGAGCAGTCCGGGTTTACGGCGTTTTCCTCGGGGAGCCTCTTTGAGTCTCTGGACGTGTTCTCGACGCGTTTGTCCGCACGTCACACGGACTCCATGTTGTCCTCAATCAAATCGAAATTGAAAGTGAAGTTGTTCCTCCTGCAACGAGCTGCAAACACGGACAGTGTGTCCCGATTTGCACTGAAATGCACTTAAACTCAGCGAACATTGAATCCTCTTTGAGGGGGGGGCAAATCAGTTGTCAAAGCCTTTATAAAAGTGTTATGAAACGTGTAAATAACTCATCACAACAATAAATGTTGATTAACAAGAAGAACGTTTTTTTGCAGTATGATAGAACTAGAAAGAATAGATAGTTGACCTCTGACAAACGTATTTATTGTACAGCGAGTGTAGCTGAGTGTAGGAAGAGAATCGATTGAGATGACTTTATTGTTTACCAGCTACCCAGCAGCCTCTCTGCCTCACTTCTGGCCTCCAGGGGACCATCTGTCCAAGAGGACAGCAGGTCGGCTGAGTTAAGGGGTCCGTTCCTGGGGACCAAAGTCTCCTGCTTAACAGGTGTGAAGCCCCCTTTCTTGGTCAGGTGGTGATACGCGTTGGTTGGGTCCAGTTTAAGGGGACACGTTACCAGACGTCCCCGAAGTCGCTGGAGACAGACGGTTAGCTGTTAGCTGTAGCAACGCCAAAGGACCCCAGTGTGGGGAGTCACTCACTATTATTATAATAAATAAAAGTAAAGGAGTAAAAGGAGGAACAACAACAATGGAGCTACAACCATAAAGTGTTTTTTCACAATCCAGATAACATCCAATACATTTTCTTTCCATCAAATAATTGATTTAAAAGCTTTACAGCTACAGCGGAGGACGACAGAGCTCTAAACAGAAAGCAGAACATGAACTGGATTGATTGTATTGACACATGTTGGACTGTGTCTTTTTATTCTGGTCCCTCCGACACTTTTAAATGACGAACTCGTGTTTAAGTGCGTTTCAGACTGTGTGACGTACTAACTGTTAGATTGTGGGCCACAAAGTGAATCCACAGCCATGAAATAGTCAAAACCAACGCTCTGCATCCGAGTACATTCAAACTATGAACTGATTCAGGAAACAAGGACGGTCATTTGTAGAACACGTCGTATAATAATGATGAATATATTTTAAAGCGCTCAACAAATAGAAAGTAGTACAAACCATTTTTACAATGTAGAATCTTCATTTATATTTCAAATATTTCCAAACATATAAAATCAACTACACAAAATGTGATCTGGAAAAAGTAAAAGGCTGATGAAGCCGTTAATTACAAGAGATGGAAGTAGCATTTTGTTGTTTTTTAGGATGTTGATTTTATAACAACTAGTTTTCACCAGATCAATAAAACTTATCATCACTGTTTCCACATTTACAATTTGTCGTTGGCAGTAAACTAATCATGTTCATCGTCTTGTTCTTAAGGAGTTTGTGTGTGTTTGTGTGTGTGTGTGTGTGTGTGTGTGTAGTGTGTTATATCCCAGTCCTATACGGTACATTATTGATGAGATTGTGGATCAGGAATTTCAAACAGTTACTGACATAACGATAAAAAACAAAAGTCAAAAATTCATTGTTTGTTGGACGCTGTCACTCGTTGTGAAACTTGGGCAGCTTGTTGCCGGGGACAACCACGTGCTCCACCCCAGTTTCCGTGATGACCACAAGGTGAGCCACGCCTCCGCTGACGTTGTCTCTGCCCATGGCGAGAGCCAGAGCTGTGACCCAGAGAGAAGCAAAGGGAGGACAGAGCAGGGGGGGGACGGACAGCAAGCAGGACAAATAAAGGTTTAACAACTGACGGTAAGCAGCATGCAGCGTTTATACACCTCCTAAAGGCTGCATGGGCACCAACTACAACATAGATGTACATCAAACCACCCAATTTGAGTGCAACCAGAGGCCTTTGACCCGGCTGAGCTGTGGTTGCCCTCAAATTGAGTGTTTTTCATTTTTAACTGTAACAAACCGAGCAAACAACCAACAAAGACTTATTCTCATTTTCTGCATTATACTGGAATCGTAGAATCACAACCCAATTTCCCCCCAAAAAACACAAAACAA